CCATCCGGCTTTGCCGGGGATTCTTGATTTTGGCTTTTCTGTTTAGTCAGGAATCCTTTGGGGATTCTTTTATTGATTGTGCCTCTTGATTAGGCGAAGATCCACTTGGGGATTTTGTCGTGCCTCTTGATTAGTCGTGAATCCACTGAGGATTTTGTTGATTTTTTGATTGTGCCTTTTGTTTAGGCAAGAATCCACTTGGGGATGTGATTTCTATTTGGTTGTGCCTCTTGATTTAGGCATATGCTTCAATAGTGGTGAAGACTTAGGTTTTGGATTGCCTCTTGCATAGGTTGATTTCCTGTTTCTTGAGGATATTGGCTTTCTGCTCACCTGTTGGAAGTGAAGACTTTGCTTTTCACTGGGGATATTTGTATTTGGGAATTTATACGCGATTCCCTGAGGATATAAACTTGTAGTTTTGCCTTCATTTGGTAGGCTCGCTGGGGATTTTTCTTTTTGATGATCCACTGGAGAATTAATTTCATTCTGGAGATCTATTTTGAATTGCCCCCTTAGAGAGAAATGGAGTTTTTCGAATCCTTATTTGACGCTGTTGTTTGAGCTGGCTTTGCGTATGCTCTTATTCCTGCTGGGGAATGAGTTTTTATTTTTTCCTCGCGATTTGAACTTCTTTTTTCGCGAGTTGGTTTTTCACACGTGTGCCTTTTTATGCACATTGGTTTTTTGGATGAAAAGATATTTTTCTCATTTCTTTTTTGTGATCCCTGGGAAATTTTTTATTTTATTTTTTATTTTTTATTTTTTTTTGGGATCTAATTTTTGATTTGATTTCTTTATGATGGAGTCTTGGCTCCGACTTTTGTGAAGCTTCTTATTTGAGCTGGAAGATGGAAAAATTTTGTTTTCATCTTTTTGTCTTTTTGTAGACTTTTCTTGATATATTCTTCTTGGAGATTTTTATTTGACCCTTTTTTGTTGTGGCCTCATTTTGGGGAATGAGAGTTTTTCTTTTCTTTCTTTTTGTTGCCCCCTAGTGATATGGAGGACTTGACTCAGTATTTTCTTTGATGGACTTTTATGTAGTCCTTATTCTCCTTTGGGGAATGAAGCGGAGACTCTTGCATGAGTGTGCTTGATGACTCATGTGGCGATGAAGCTGAGTCGTGAGGTAATCTTTTTGTTTTGCCTCTGGAGTAGGCAAGGATCCGCTTGGGGATAATTAAGCCTTTCCGTTGGCTTTTTCCTATTGAGGTACCTCCTCTTGTTGGTGTAGAAGGTTGGTGATTGGAGCCAGTTTCTTCGAAGCTCCTTATTTTGCTAAAGTGGTTTAGATTTCGCCTTTTTCCATCGCGGTTTAGTTTTCATCGCGAGCTGTTTTGAAATCTGGCTTTTTAGTAGATCATGTGTGCCTTTTATTTTGTACACATGGGCTTTTTGAATGCGAAGTGTAAAACAGAAATAACGATTTTTATTTATTACTGCTTTTTGTTGGATACATTTCAAGCATACTTAAGACACTAGAAAGCTATATAAATAAATCCTAATCGTCTGCCTCTGGGCTGGAATGGGCAGATGGTGCTGGCGAAGGGAAGCGGCGGAGTAGGCGGCGCTGGAATCTCGTCTGAGTCTGGACCAGGCTCTCTATCTGGCGGTCCATCCTGTCTTGCCTAACAGTCAGCTGATTGAACTGCTGTCAACATAGCTCTCCCTTCTCTCTAGACTTTCTCTCTCTAAGAATCCCTCCGAGGCATTTCCGGAGTTTCTGAGTGTCTTTAGGAGAATTTTGAGCATTCTAAATCTTCTTTAGAATCCCTCTGAGGCATTTCCGGAGTTTCTGAGAGTTGTAGAGTGAAGGGTTGCCAAAACGCACCCTCTCTTTTAAAATATAAAAGCTTGCTTTGGAGGTGCATATTCTCCCTCTCTATTTTTATTACTGCCATTTAAATTACGCAATAGAAGCTAGGGCCATGTAGTCATAAACTTAAATTCCGCATAATAAAAGGGTAAAAGCGCATTTTTCCAGTTTAATTATGTATTCAAGGTAGTCGGCCTATCATAGGGAACCCGAAAGGGGCGTCGTAAAGGAACTAACACTTCCTTTACACGTAACTAACTCCCTTACCCAACTCTGGTTCTAATGACCAAAGTTGGTTTTCGAAAACCAACGCCTTTTTAAAACCCCTTTTCCGATGTTTATGGTAAAAATATCGGTGGCGACTCCATAGAACCCAAATTAAATAAGTCCCTGGGATAGCCCGGTTATCGGACAACCCAGGGATACTTTCAAAAACCTCGCCCCTGGGTTAGCCCGGCTATCGGACAACCTAAAGGCGTTGTAATCACCAATAAAAAATGCGAAAATAAAGAGGGTCGAAAAAACCATCGCGTCGCTCCGACCGCCCCTTTTCGGGAGGCGGCGACAACCCCTTATCTCTTCTGTTGGTCCACGTGGCTATTTAGCTTACAAAGAACCTGAAACCGGGCTAGCTAAAATGTAGATTGTCCGAGATAAGGTTGTTTATTATGAAAAGACTTTTTTTTTTTAATTTTTATTATTATTATCTTTTATTGTTTTATTGTTGTTGTATGATTATGCTATGCAACAAACAAATGCAACAAACAAATCACTCATCCGCGAACAGAGTGACGACGTTTTTATCACGAGGTAGGGGTGTCCTACAAAAAAGTGCATATTCAAGGTGGTTCTAATTATCCTCACCAAGGTCAGGCCCCCAAGGTTCCCCCATTATAGGGTTCCCACTCTTCCAGCCTTCAGACCATGCGTGGCACTAAGGCCGTGTTGACGTCTTTAGGCCACAAAAGGAAGGTTATCACCGTGAGTGGTGGTTTCCAACCATATCGGTGGGCTCATGGCCCTTTACTACAACAAATCGTACTTGCCACCCACTCCCTAAGATTATCCCACATGCCCCCAGGTATAGAGGGAACTATTGTGTGCAAAGGTTTGTGTACAGTTTGTTATTTCAAACAATTACAGAAAATAAGCATACAACAATTATTAAAGCCAAACAATAAAGCATGTTATAAAACAAGAAAGGGTAAAGACATAATTTCAAGTTTTTATTTTCTAAACTTAGTCCATCACTAAATGAGATCAACTCTCTAGCTTTCCCAGTGGAGTCGTCATCTGTTACTGCCGTCAAAAGAGGCGGTCGGAGTGACGCGATGGTTTTAATTGACTCGCGTTTTTTAAAGATGATGTTCAACACTTTTAGGTTATTCGATAACCGGGCTGGACCTAAAGGCGAGGTTTTCAAAAAGGTTCGATGGAGTCACCACCAATGTTTTTACCGTAAACATCGAAAAAGGAAAAAAAAGGCGTTGGTTTTAGAAAACCAACTTTGGCCATTACAACCAGAGTTGGGCAGGGGAGTTAGTTATGTGTGGGGAAGGTGTTAGCACCCCACAACGCCCCTTTCGGGTTCCCTATGATGGACTAGTTTATAAAATAAAGACTAAAAACTATACTTTTACCCTATTTATGTATCTACTTGCAAAATTTAAATGTCTACATGACCCTAATATCTAATGCATACAAGGAAAGCGATAAAGGAAAGCAGTAAAGGAGAGAGAATAAGGAAAGCAGTAAAGGAGAGAGAATAAGGAAAGGAACCATCTGAAGCGAGCTTTTCTATTATCTCTTTAAAACTTGAGGAAGCTTTTTGGTTGTCCCCGCGCTTTACAAACACGCTCCTCTCCCGCAACAAAATAAACTACCCTTCTACCGAGTGTCGGATGTCTCAAAAGGAGACCTCCTTAGCGACGAATATATCCGTCAGTAATTAATTGTTCATCTACCGATGGATATATCCGTCGATAAGACTAAATTCCACAACTACTCTAAATTCGTTGGTAATAACTTATTTTCCGATGGATACATATCCGTCGGTAATATAATATTTTCTTGTAGTGTCTCAGTCTGCATGACGTCGACACGGCCTTGAGCCACGCAAGATTTGAGGACAGTTAGAACCTATCCTTACTATGCACTTTTCTACAGGATACCCCTACCTCGTGATTAAATGTCGTCGCTCTGTTCGTGGATAAGTGAATTGTTTGAGCATATGGTTGTTGCATTTGTTTGTTGCATATATAGAATAATAAAAAAAATAGCCAAAATAAATAAAAAATTCTTAAAACATAAAATAATAATAATAATAAGAGATGTTTAACCTGTTCTGCCAGATCCAGCATCTCAAAATCTTATTTAAAACTTTTGTTGCTATAAACAACTTTATGTCGGACAGTCTTCATTTAAGCTAGCCTGATTTCAGGTTCTTTGAAAGCTAAGTAACCATGTTGACTAACAGAAGGGATAAGGAGTTATAAAAATAAACAAAAAACTTATTTTTGCTATAACCAACTTTATCTCGAACAATATTCATTTAAGCTAGCCTGGTTTCAGGTTCTTTGAACGCTAAGTAGTCACATTGACTAACAGAAGAGATAAGGGATTATAAAAAACAAAAAAAAAACAAAAAAAAAATAAAACATAATAAAAATATTTTGACAAAGTCGAATCATTCATATCCTCATCATTTCAAGAGTGGTAAAAATAAGAGAGAAAATAAATGCATAAAGAGAGCGTGCATATGCATCATCCTAATAAGTCTCTCGCATAAATGCATTCATTCTAAGGGCAATATGTTACAAGTGGAGGAGGTGCAATATCTTGGGTCGGGAGGAGGTGCAATATCTTAGGTAGGGAGCAGGTGTAATATTTTGGGTCGGGAGGAGGTGCAATATGTTGTGAGGTGAGGAGGTGCAATATGTTGGGAGGGGAGGAAGTGTAATATGTTGGGAGGGGAGGAGGTGTAATATCTGGGGTCGGGAGGAGGTGCAATATCTTGGGTCGGGAGGAGGTGCAATATCTTATGTGTGGAGGAGGTGCAATATCTTATGTTGGGAGGGGAGATGGTCAAAATGTTAGGAGGTGAGGAGGTGCGTTATCTTATCTTGGGAGGAGTTGAGGAGGTGCAATATCTTATGTTGGGAGGAAGTTGACGAGGTCCAATATGTTGGGAGTTGAGGAGGTGCAATATCTTATGTTGGAAGGTGAGGAGGTGCAATATCTTATGTTCGGAGAGAGTTGAGGAGGTGCAATATGTTAGGAGTTGAGATGGTGTAATATCTTATGTTGGGAGTTGGAGAGGTGCAGTATCTTATGTTCGAAAAGGAGATGGTGCAATATGTTAGGAGGTGAGGAGGTACAATATCTTATGTTGGGAGGAAGTTGAGGAGGTGCAATATGTTGGGAGTTGAGGAGGTGCAATATGTTTGGAGTTGAGGAGGTGTAATTTCTTATATTTGAAAGGGGTTGAGGAGGTGCAATATGTTTGGAGTTGAGAAGGTACAATATGTTGGGAGTTGAGGAGGTGCAATATCTTAGGAGTTGAGAAGGTGCAATATGTTAGGAGGTGAGGAGGTGCAATATGTTGGGAGTGGAGGAGGTGTAATATGTTGGGAGTGGAGGAGATGCAATATGTATGGATTGTAGGAGGCCCAATATCTTGGGTGTGGAGGAGGTGCAATATGTTAGGAGGTGAGAGGAGGTGCAATATGTTGGAAGTGGAGGAAGTGCAATATCTTGGGTCGGGAGGAGGTGCAATGTGTTGGGAGGTGAAGAGGTGCAATATGTTAGGAGGGTAGGAGGTGCAATATGTTGGGAGTGGAGGAGGTGCAATATCTTATGATGAGAGGAGGTGCAATATCTTATGATAGGAGCGAAGATGATGCAATATGTTGGGAGGTGAGGAGGTGCAATATCTTATGTTGGAAGGGAGGTGATGAGGTGCAATATTTTATGTTGGGAGGGAGTTGAGGATGTGCAATATCTTATGTTGGGAGGGAGTTGAGGAGGTGAAATATGTTGTGAGTTGAGGGGGTACAATGTCTTATGTTGGGAGGTGAGGAGGTGCAATATCTTATGTTAGGAGGGAGTTGAGGAGGTGCAATATGTTGGGAGTGAAGGAGGTGCAATATCTTAGGTCGGGTGGAGGTGCAATATCTTGGATCGGGAGTTGGTGCAATATCTTGGGTCGGGAGGAGGTGCAATATCTTATGTTACGAGGGAGTTGAGGAGGTGCAATATGTTGGGAGTTGAGGAGGCGTAATATGTTGGGAGTTGAGGATGTGCAATATCTTATGTTGGGATGTGAGGAGGTGAAATATCTTATGTTAGGAGGTGAGGAGGTGAAATATTTTATGTTGGAAGGGAGTTGAGGAGGTACAATAATATATTGGGAGTTGAGATGGTGCAATATCTTATGTTGGGAGTTGAGGAGGTGCAATATCTTATGTTCAGAGTTGGGAAATGCAATATGTTGGGAGGGGAGGTGGTGCAATATCTTGGGTCGAGAGGATGTGAAATATATTATGTTGGGAGGGGAGATGGTGCAATATGTTAGGAGGTAAGGAGGTGCAATATCTTATGTTGGGAGGGAGTTGAGGAGGTGCAATATCTTATGTTGGGAGTTGAGGAGGTGCAATATGTTGGAGGGGAAGTGGTGCAATATATTGTGAGGGGAGGTGGTGCAATATCTTGGGTTGGCAGGAGGTGCAATATCATGGGTCGGGAAGAGGTGTAATATCTTATGTTGGGAGGAGGTGTAATATCTTATGTTTGGAGGGGAGATGGTGCAATATGTTGGGAGGTGAGGAGGTGCAATATCTTATGTTGGGAGAAAGTTGAGGAGTTGCAATATGTTGGGAGTTAAGGAGGTGCAATATCTTATGTTGGGAGGTGAGGAGGTGCAATATCTTATGTTGGGAGGGAGTTGAGGAGGTGCAATATGTTAGGAGTTGAGATGGTGCAATATCTTATGTTAGGAGTTGAGGAGGTGCAATATGTTGGGATTTGAGGGATGCAATATCTTGAGAGTTGAGGAGGTGCAATATGTTGGGAGGTGAGGAGGTGCAATATGTTGGGTCGGAAGGAGGTGTAATATCTTGGGTCGGAAGAAGGTGCAACATCTTGGGTTGGAAGGAGGTGGTGCAATATCTTGGGAGGGGAGGTGGTGCAATATCTTAGGAAGGGGGGTGGTGTAATATCTATGTTGGGAGGGAAGGTGGTGCATTATCTATGTTGGGAGGGGAGGTGGTGCAATATCTATGTTAGGAGGGGAGGAGAGGTGCAATATTTTTGTTGGGAGGGTAGGAGAGGTGCAATATCTATGTCGGGAGGGGTGGAGAGGTGCAATATTTATGTCAGGAAAGGAAAAGTGGTGCAATATCTATGTCAGGAGGGGAGGAAGTTCAATATCTATGTCGGGAGGGGATGAGGTACAATATCTATGTCAGGAGGGGAAGAGGTGCAATATGTATGTCAAGAGGGGAAGAGGTGTAATATGTATGTCAGGAAGAGGTGCAATATCTATGTCGGGAGAGGAGGAGAGGTTCAATATCTATGTCTGGAGGGGAGTAGGTGCAATATCTATGTCGGGAGGGGAGGATAGGTGCAATACCTATGTTGGGAGGGGAGGAGGTGCAATATGTATGTTCGGAGGGGAAGAGGTGCAATATGTTGGGAGGATGTGTAATATATATGTTGGGAGAGGAGGAGAGGTGTAATATCTATATTGGGAGGGGAGGTGGTTCAATATCTATGTGGGGAGGGGAGGAATGACAATATCTATGTGGGGTGGGAAGAAGGTGCAATATCTAAGTCCGGAGGGGAGGAGGTGCAATATCTATGTCGGAGGGGAAGAGGTGTAATATCTATGTCGGAGGGGAAGAGGTGTAATATCTATGTCGAGAGAGGATGAGGTGTAATATCTATGTGGGGAGGGGAGGAGAGGTGCAATATCTATGTGGGGAGGAGGTGTAATATGTATGTCAGGAGGGGAGGAGAGGTAATATGTATGTCGGAAGGGGAGGAGAGGTGTAATATATATGTCGGGAGGGGAGAAGGTGTAATATGTATGTCGGGAGGTGAGGAGGTGCAATATGTTGGGAGGATGTGTAATATCTATGTTGGGAGAGGAGGAGAGGTGTAATGTCTATGTTGGGAGGTGAGGAGGTGCAACATCTATGTTGGAAGGGGAGGAGAGGAGGTGCAATATCTATGTTGGGATGGGAGGAGGTGCAATATCTACGTAGGGAGGCGAGGAGGTGCGATATCTATGTGGGGAGAGAAGGACGTGCAATATATATGTGGGGAGCGGAGGACGTGCAATATCTATCAGGGTGAGGAGAAGGTGTAATATTTATGTCGGGAGAGGTGCAATATCTATGTCGGGAGGGAAAGAGAAATGCAACATCTATGTCGGGAGGGCAAGAGAGGTGCAATATCTATGTGGGGAGGGGAGGAGGTGTAATATCTATTTGGGGTGGGGAGAAGGTGTGATATCTATGTCGGGAGAGGTGCAATATCTATGTCGAAAGAGGATGAGGTGCAATATCTATATCGAAAGAGGATGAGGTGAAATATCTATGTCGAAAGAGGATGAGGTGCAATATCTATGTGGAGAGGGGAGGAAAGGTGCAATATATATGTGGGGAGTGGAGGAGGTGCAATATCTATGTGGGGAGGAGGTGTAATATGTATGTTAGGAGGGGAGGAGAGGTGTAATATCTATATTGGGAGGGGAGGTGGTTCAATATCTATGTGGGGAGGGGAGGAATGACAATATCTATGTGGGGTGGGAAGAAGGTGCAATATCTAAGTCCGGAGGGGAGGAGGTGCAATATCTATGTCGGAGGGGAAGAGGTGTAATATCTATGTCGGAGGGGAAGAGGTGTAATATCTATGTCGAAAGAGGATGAGGTGCAATATCTATGTGGGGAGGGGAGGAGAGGTGCAATATCTATGTGGGGAGGAGGTGTAATATGTATGTCGGGAGGGGAGGAGAGGTAATATGTATGTCGGAAGGGGAGGAGAGGTGTAATATATATGTCGGGAGGGGAGAAGGTGTAATATGTATGTCGGGAGGTGAGGAGGTGCAATATGTTGGGAGGATGTGTAATATCTATGTTGGGAGAGGAGGAGAGGTGTAATGTCTATGTTGGGAGGTGAGGAGGTGCAACATCTATGTTGGAAGGGGAGGAGAGGAGGTGCAATATCTATGTTGGGATGGGAGGAGGTGCAATATCTACGTAGGGAGGCGAGGAGGTGCGATATCTATGTGGGGAGAGAAGGACGTGCAATATATATGTGGGGAGCGGAGGACGTGCAATATCTATCAGGGTGAGGAGAAGGTGTAATATTTATGTCGGGAGAGGTGCAATATCTATGTCGGGAGGGAAAGAGAAATGCAACATCTATGTCGGGAGGGCAAGAGAGGTGCAATATCTATGTGGGGAGGGGAGGAGGTGTAATATCTATTTGGGGTGGGGAGAAGGTGTGATATCTATGTCGGGAGAGGTGCAATATCTATGTCGAAAGAGGATGAGGTGCAATATCTATATCGAAAGAGGATGAGGTGAAATATCTATGTCGAAAGAGGATGAGGTGCAATATCTATGTGGAGAGGGGAGGAAAGGTGCAATATATATGTGGGGAGTGGAGGAGGTGCAATATCTATGTGGGGAGGAGGTGTAATATGTATGTTAGGAGGGGAGGAGAGGTAATATGTATGTCAGAAGGGGAGGAGAGGTGTAATATATATGTCGGGAGGGGAGAAGGTGTAATATGTATGTCAAGAGGTGAGGAGGTGCAATATGTTGGGAGGATGTGTAATATCTATGTTGGGAGAGGAGGAGAGGTGTAATGTCTATGTTGGGAGGTGAGGAGGTGCAATATCTATGTTGGGATGGGAGGAGGTGCAATATCTACGTGGGGAGGCGAGAAGGTGCAATATCTATGTGGGGAGAGGAGGACGTGCAATATCTATGTGGGGAGCAGAGGACGTGCAATATCTATCGAGGTGAGGAGAAGGTGTAATATCTATGTCGGGAGAGGTGCAATATCTATGTTGGGAGGGAAAGAGAAGTGCAACATCTATGTCGGGAGGGCAAGAGAGGTGCAATATCTATGTGGGGAAGGGAGGAGGTGCAATATCTATGTAGGGTGGGGAGAAGGTGTAATATCTATGTCGGGAGAGGTGCAATATCTATGTCGGGAGGGGAAGAAAGGTGCAATATCTATGTCGGGAGGGGAGGAGGTGTAATATCTATGTCGAGAGGGGAGGAGGTGAAATATCTATGTCAAAAGAGGAGGTGCAATATCTATGTGGGGAGGAGAGGAGGTGTAACATGTATGTCGGGAGGGGAGGAGAGGTAATATGTATGTTGGAAGGGGAGGAGAGGTGTAATATATATCGGGAGGGGAGAAGTGTAATATGTATGTCGAGAGGGGGTGTAATATGGATGTCGGGAGGGGAGGAGGTGTAATATGTATGTCGGGAGGGGAGGAGGTGCAATATCTATGTTGGGTGGGGAGGAGATGTAATATGTATGTGTCACCGCCGTCAAAAGAGGCGGTCGGAGCGACGTGATGGTTTGTATGACTCACGTTTTTTAAAGAATATGTTCAACGTTTTCAGGTCGTCCGATAACCGAGCTGAACCTAAAGACGAAGTTTTTGAAAAAGGGTTCTATGGAGTCGCCACCAATGCTTTTACCGTAAACATCGAAAAAGGAAGAAAAGGCGTTGGTTTTAGAAAAATCAACTTTGGTCATTACAACCAGAGTTGGGTAAGGGAGTTAGTTACGTGTGGGGAAGGTGTTAGCACCCCATAATGCCCTTTTCGGGTTCCCTATGATGGACTAGTTCATAAAATAAAGACTGAAAGAAACTATGTTTTTACCCTATTTATTTATCTACTAACAGAATTTAAATATCTACATGGTCCTAGTATCTAATGCATACAAGGAAAGCAATAAAGAAAGCAATAAAAGAGAGAGAATAGAGAAAGAACCTCCGAAGCGAGCTTTCTATTAACTCTTCAAAACTTGAGGACACTTTTTCACAATCCCCCTAGTCTACAAGCACGCTCCTCACCCGCAACAAAGAAAAAGATCACTCTACCGAGCGTCGGATGCCTCAAGAGGAGACATCCTTAACCGATTTCTACCTTAATGGAAATCGGAAAGCTCACTCGAACTCTGGAATAATGCTCAGAGTCACTCTCAAGTTTCAAAAGACTTCCAAGAGAGTAGTAGGAGTGCAAGATGTGTGAAATGAGGGGGGAGTCTCCTATTTATAGGAATTCGCGTCAGGCAGACTGGGATGGCCGTTTGGACTTTCTGATAGGCGAGATGGCCGTCTGTGATATCGAGACGACCGTCTCAGGCTCAGAGAAAGGTGAGACGGTCGTCTGGCCAAAGGAGACGACCGTGTCGTTCTTCAGGGAAAGTGAGACGGTCGTCTGGCTAAACGGGACGGCCGTCTCGAGCCTCCTGTCAGTTTTTCCTATTTTTCTTATTTTTTGTTCCTTCCTATTCCTACATGGAGCCTAGTGAACATGCCTAGGGTCCTAAAGAAGCCTTATCCATCTTCGAACAGAGGTTTTCTGGTCTTTATTGAGAAGTTGGGCAAGATTTGGGGTCTGCAGCTGCCCCTCCTTCACCCGACCAATTGACTATGGGCTAATGTGCCATGAAATCGTTTGGCGGGTGAAGGAGTTAACCATCTTGCCCGGTTGTCCTTCGGATGCTCCTCTTGACGTGGTAGCCGACCCTTGGGACGATGAATGTAGTCTGACGTTGTCTTCAGCATGCTTCCTTGTTTTGGAGGTTGACCCCTCGGACGATATGTGTGAAGAAGCTTCAGGATGCTCCTTTGATATGGTAGCTGATCTTTCGGCTAGCGAATGAAGTTTTTCCATTGGGATGCTCCTTTGATGCGGTAGCTGACCCCTTGGGTAGTGTGTGTGAAGCTTCAGGATGCTCCTTCGATGTGGTAGCTGACCCTTTAACTTTTGATGAATAGGGAACCTCAGGATTCTCCTTCGAAGCTTGTAGCTGACCCCTTGGTTTTGGTTTGATGTCTCAGGATGCTCCTTTGACGCGGCAACTGACCCTTTGGCTAATGTAAGTGTATGTAGACTTCAAGATACTTCCATGCTAACCCTTCAGATGGTCAAGGTGGATTGTGTATTCTGGATACCCCTTTGCAATGGGGTTGATCCTTTGGACAATGTGTGTAACTCTATCTTTTGGATGCCCCTTCTGCTGGGTGGTTGATCCTTTTAATAGAGAAAGTGGTGGCGACTTACTGCTCTAGCTCATGCGCCGACTCCATGGGGAGTGATTTTTGTTCGAAAATGTACTTTGCTTTTTTACGTAGCCATCTAACTCTGTTTGTCGGGGATTCTTGATGAATGCCTCTTAAGTAGGCAGGAATCCACTGGGGATTTGTTGATTTAGATTATGCCTCTAAAAAGGCGGATGCTTCATCGATAGTGAAGGCTTTTGGCTTGTATTGTTTTGCCTCTAAGTAGGCTGATATCCCTTCGGGGATGTTGGCTCTTTGCTTGCTAGGTTTTGCCTATGCGTAGGCGAACGACTCACTGAGGATAAGTCTTTGCAGATCGCCTTTGCGGTAGGCTCACTGGGGATAGATTTTTTTTCTCTTTTTTTGGCTATCCGCTGGGGAATTCTTGTTTCCCTGGGGAGGGAACGGAGTCTTGCCTCCTGGATTATGTTGGTGATGGGCTTTTACAAAGCCCTTATTCTCCCTTGGCAGGTGTGATGGAGAATGGATTGAGTATGCTTGATGACTTGTTGTGGCGATGATGCTGAGTCATGCGAGGATGTTTTTGTTTGCCTCTAGAGTAGGCAATGATCTAATTCAGGATTGAGCCTTTCCGTCAGCTTTGTTTTGGTTGTAAAGAATGTCTTCTCTTTATTTGGCAGAAGGATGGTGGTTGGAGCTTTTGATTCTGGACGCTCTTATTTTTTGTGGAATTGCTTGATTAATGACGACTTGCTCCGTTTTCTTGAGGGGAGCTTCATTTTGAGATTTGGTTTGGGTACTTCCTGTTTTTCAATCACAAACATGGAGCTAGTCTCCTTATGCATGATTAAAAAAGTTTAATTTTCATGATTTGATAGTCTTTTTGTGCTACTATTTATGTGTGGATGCCCTAAATGCAATCTATTTTCTTTTTTTATGCACCTAGAAAAGTCACCGCCCCTTTCCATTGGTTGCTGGATGCTGACGGGTTCTCTTTTTCATTTGCGTGTTTTTTGTTTTAGCCCTATCTTTTGCCTACACCGCCCTTTTGGGGTTTTCGATCTAGCGGGCTGCTGATGTGAACATGACCTATGATAAGGGCTAGAGCAAGGAAAACAAAGAAAGCTCTTCAACAAGTATTGTTGGTTGATCAAATTGTGTTTTGGATTAATCAATTAATGAACTTTAGTTTGGTTTTATTGCAAGTTGTAATAAGGGCCCAATTGGAAATTTAGTTATCAGTCTTTGGGAGACCAAAAGGGTGTATAGCTGATTGATTTTTGGATGTCACAATTTCAGTTACAATCAATCATTAAGTAGTTTTCAATTCCTAGGTTAATGGATCATTATTAGCCTTTATTTGTCTCCATTAAGTAGTTTTCAATTCCTAGGTCAATGAATCATTATTAGCATTTATTTTCCTTTATTAAATTTTTGTAATTCTGATGGCAAAGCTTCTATATAGGCTGAACCATTTTTATCAAAAATAACAAGTGGAATTTTATTCAGAACTATTAGAGTTTATCTCTTTTATCCTGGTGAGAGTGATTCTCCTAAATTCTTGAGTGATTCAAGAACCCTTGCTGTATCAAAGGATTTTCACATCCTTTGTGAGTTTCCTTCCTTAGAAAGAGTGATTCTTTCCTTCCACCTTATCACTAAATTCATAAATTTCTTACAAGGTTTTAACCCTAAATCCTAAATCACCCCTTGTGATTCATATCAGTTGGTATCAGAATTCCGATTTAAGGGTTTGAACATCAAATTGATGGCAGAAGAGGAAAATTACAATCAAGAAGCAGGAATTAGTCCATTTCAAATGAGAGCATTGATACAACATTTGGAAGGATTAATGATGCGACATAACAATGAGGTCCATGAAAGATTGAACCGGTTGGAGAATAGAGATCCTGAAGATGAAGAACAAAAGAGAAATAGGAGAAGGAATGATGGAGTAGCAAGACCAAGTATGCTTGAAGGAGTAAAGCTTAGCATTCCTCCGTTCAAAGGAAAAAGTGATCCGGAGGCATACTTGGAGTGGGCGATGAAAATAGAGCATGTTTTCTCATGCAACAATTATGAGGAGACCCAAAAGGTGAGGCTTGCAACTACGGAATTTTCTGACTATGCTCTTGTTTGGTGGAACAAGCTACAAAAGGAGAGAGGTAGAAATGAAGAGCCAATGGTTGATACATGGACTGAGATAAAAAGGATCATGAGGAAGCGGTATGTACCGAATAGTTATTCAAGGGACTTGAAATTTAAACTCCAAAAACTTACTCAAGGCAACAAGGAGGTTGAGGAGTATTTCAAGGAAATGGACATGCTCATGATTCAAGCAAAGATTGAAGAAGATGAAGAGGTAACTATGACCCGATTTATTGGTGGTTTGAATATTGATATACATAATATTGTTAAGTTGCAGGAGTTTGTTGATATGGAGGAATTACTTCATAAAGCAATTTGAGTGGAGCAACAACTCAAAAGAAAAGTGGCTGCGAAGAGTTCTACCAACTTTGGATCTTCAAGTTGGAAGGAAAAAGACAAGAAAGATGGGACTGTTACCACTAGTAGTTCCACACCTACTCCTACAAAGACTCCTTCAAAGTTTGAAGAACAACCCTCTAAAAGAAGTAGAGATGTGAAGTGTTTCAAATGTCAAGGTTTAGGACACTATGCTTATGAGTGCACTAACAAAAGGTTTATGGTTCTTAGAAAGGGAGAATATATAAGTGAATCTAAGGTTGAAGAGGGAGAGGAGAGTG